GGTTTGTTTAGTTTGGAAAAGAGAAAATTGAGGGGGGACATGATAGCTGTTTTCAGGTATCTAAAAGGGTGTCATAAGGAGGAGGGAGAAAACTTGTTCATCTTGGCCTGTGAGGATAGAACAAGAAGCAATGGGCTTAAACTGCAGCAAGGGAGGTTTAGGTTGGACATTAGGAAAAAGTTCCTCACTGTTAGGGTGGTTAAATACTGGAATAAATTGCCCAGGGAGGTTGTGGAATCCCCATCTCTGGAGATTTTTAAGAGTAGGTTAGATAAATGTCTATCAGGGATGGTCTAGACAGTATTTGGTCCTGCCATGAGGGCAGGGGACTGGACTCGATGACCTCTCGAGGTCCCTTCCAGTCCTAGTATTCTATGATTCTATGATTCATTAGTACACAGACAGACAGACAATGTACTCGTGTACATAAGGGGAGATGGAAAAAGGCCATTTGGGTCATTTAAGACGTCTCCCCTGCCACATCGTTTATGTACAAGTATGTTCCCTGTCTCCAGCGTATTTTCCAGTGCTTTGCCTAGTCCATTCAAGATGCTGCCCGCTACAGCTAATCAAAACTTTCACTGAAATAGAAACTTTCCACAAGAATATGACAATCACAACTCAATTTCATTTTTTTTTAAATGAAGCACGATGACCTTTTCAGAACAAAGCAATTTCGAATGTATGCATTGGAATGCCCTTTCATTTCAAAACACAATTTATTTTATAGTCTAAATTAAGAGATTGCATTACATTTTTAAAAGTCTCAGAGGAGTCGCTGTTTTCATCTGTATCTGCAAAAACAACGAGGAGTCCTGCGGCACCTTAAAGACTAAGGGTATATCTACACTACAGGGTTATCTCGAAATATCATATATCTTAGGGTGTGTCTAAACTACATGGCTCCATCGATGGAGCCATGTAGATTAGGCTGATCGGCAAAGGGAAATGAAGCCATGATTTAAATAATCATGGCTTCATTTTAAATTTAAAAAGCTGATCAGCTGTTTGTCGGCTCAGCGCGCTAGTCTGGATGCTCCCGCGCCAACCTAAAAGCCCTTTATCGACCTCCCTGTTATGCCTCGTAGGATGAGGTTTACCGGGGAGGTCGATAAAGGGCTTTCATGTTGGCAGGGGAGCGTTCAGA